TTTGTATTCTTCAAAGCCCGCACCGGTAGGAAGTTCATTTCCGAAGTCCCCCAGAGTAACCGGGGATGGAAGGAAAAGTTTGTTTTCATCGAGTTTCCCCCCTTCTTCACTCCTCTGGCCGGTCTGAAATGGAATGACCATCTCCTCGACCAAGAGTATGCTGCACCGGCCTCCTCCCCAGACTTGGAAGCTAGTCTCGAGATCCTCATGCGTGGGGATCCTCAAACCGGGAGGATCTTCCATCAAGGCAGCTGGGTTTGGAGGGTAGATTCGGGTGGTGAGGGTACCTCCCAGGCCCAGGAAGCAGCGGGGCGCGGGGTACCCTCCCCGGGCAACACTGCAGAGGCTGAGGGCCAGAACCACCCAGGTACTTTTCACTTTTCTTGTGATTCGTAGTTGACCGGTCGAACTACTTGTACTTAACGATTTCAACTTCTCTTGCAGATATGGAGTTTGAGGAGTTCGCCATCCCTGACGACCAACCAGCCGGGGAGACCGGGGGCTCCCAAGCCAATCCTGCCAGGACTTTCCCGGTCAATCCAGAGACCGTGGAAATCCTGGATGAAGACGAGCCCCAAGACAACCGGTCTAAGCGGAAGGAGAAGGAAAAGGCCGGTCGCCGGGTGAAGAAGGTGGCCACCACGCACCCTTCCTATGCCAAGAAGAGGGCAAGGTCAGATCCTGAGCCGGCCGGCCAGACCATCGAGGAGGCCTTCATCAATCTCGGGCTGAGGCTGAGGCTGAAGGAGGTAAGTCTTGATGCCATCCCGGTCTTTATTTGTTTTTTTTATCGAGAAACTTACCGGTCTGTTTCGTTTTGTGCAGGCGGGGGAGATTGGGCCGCATACAGTGGACCGGTTGGGGATGAGTTCCCCTTCCGAAGTCGACCGGCTGAAGAGGGAGAAAGAAGAGATGGCACTCATCCTGAGGAGCCAAGCTGATGAGCTGATCCGGCTGTCTGGGCTGGCCGGGGCAATAAAGACTGAGATCTCCCAACTGAAGGAGGAGAATGGCCGGCTTCTGGACGAAGTCTCTGAAGCCAAGAGGGAAGTGGCGGAGAAGGAAGAAACCTTCCCCGGGCGCGTAGCTGCCTGGGTGGGAGAGAATAAGGCTGAAGCTGCCCGGGTGATGACGGCTAGCCCGGAAGCGACCATGGAATCCTTTAGGCTTTTGTACCGGGAGCCTGAAGGAAAGAAGATGATTACCGCTATTGGGTCCTTCGGATTCAAGAGTGGTCAGAAGAAGGACCGGGCTGCCTGCCACCGGATTTTGAAGAAAAGAGACCCAGAGTTCTCCGCAGCTTCTTACGGCCTGGCATCCATCCCGGAGGAAGAGCCTACTCCCCCTTTCCCCCTAGATTAAGAACTACAAGGCCTTGACTGGTTGCTTTGTAAACTTAAAACTCATTTCCCCGGGAATGCCCGGTGTAAATGTAAAACATTTAACATTCTTATTTCGTTTGAATGCCATGTTTTCTTTTCGTACCAGTTAATCTTCCACGTCTGATTGCTTGTTGATTTATTTTTTTGATCTTGCTGCTTAGAATACCATCATAGAAATTCTGACCGGTACATAAATTAGGTCACTTCTCAATTGTTTTCGACCGGTGGAACTTCAAAGTTCTCTTTGATTACTTCATCTGAAGGATTAGCTCAAGTAACTTTGACCGGTCAGACCCCCATTTTTGCTTTTCAAACGCCTTCATCATTTTTGGCCAACATAAAAAGTTTGACCGGCCGAACTTTACTTTCCCATTTTGGATAGCTTCATAAATTCTTTAATTTGACCGGTGAATTCCAACTCCATGGTTTGACCGGTCAACTGCCTTGCCTTCCGATGGACGTAGAACTTTCGAAGTTCTGTCGTGCACATACCCGACCGGGGTATTTTTTTTATCGGTAGATGTAGATGGAAACACCTGTAACCTAGTAATTCTTGAAGTATCCTTAACCGATAAGAATACTGGAGATTTAACCATGTCGAATGGTTTCGAACCCTCTCCAAGGTCCAAATGCACCCTTCTTCCAGGGCCCCCTCTTCCGGGTGATTAAGTCTTTTAATGGCCCTTTGATTTCTACCATTCCGGGAAGGCCTTAGCTCACCCTCCCGTTCAAGTCTTCCCTGAGAAGGGGGAAACAGGATGCGCCATGGTGGACGATCCCCTTCTATTTCTTTTAATGGGCATCTTTTTAGTCCCCAATCAATTTGACGGCGCCGGCTGATTCCCCGACACCAGTCAAACCTCATGGGCCCGTGTAAGTACGGTTCAAACCCTCTTCCAGGTCCAGCCCTCTTGCAGGCATACCCTCTTCCGGGCCCCTCTTCTGGGTTTTAATATTTTTTCTATTATACTGAGCAAGACCGGTGTAGTAACCAGCGTGCCAGGTCCGGGCCTGTGTCTCAGTTGGCTTATCCAAGTGGATTCGATCCACCCAGGAAGCCCTCCTAGGATAAGTTCGACCTATCAATTCTGCCGCTACCAAATAGAGTATTGAACATCATCGGTTTGATTGATAATAAAGTAGGCCTTGCCTAGTATTACAATCATTTGTAGAACTTGCGAAGATGGTGGGAATTCCAGGTTCTTTCTACCGGTACCCCTTCAAGAATTTCTAACCAGTAGGTCCCCGGGCGAATGATAGCTCTCACCCGGTAAGGCCCTTCCCAGTTTTTGGCTAGCTTTCCTCCGTTGCCGGGTCTACTTGCTTCTCTTCTTCGTAGGACTTCATCCCCAACTTGGAAGTACCGCGGCCCAACCTTGTTATCATGGTACTTCTTCACAACTTGTTGGTATGTGCTCATTTTGACTTCCGCGGCCATTCTCCGCTCTTCGACCAAGTTGAGTTCGGCCAAGTGGTCTTCCTCATTCTGCTGGGGTGATAGTTTGATTCCCGAAACGTTGGAATTCAGCTTCGATGGGCATCCTTGCTTCACATCCATAGGTTAGGGAGAATGGAGCTTCCCCATGAGCCCTCCTGGGTGTTACCCGGAATGCCCATACGATGTGTGGGAGCTCTTCCAGCCACTTGTTCCCTGCTTCTCCCAACCGCTTCTTCAAACCATCTACAATAGTTCTGTTGGCGTTTTCGACTTGGCCATTTCCTTGAGGGTACGCCACCGAAGAGCGATTGTGCTTGATCCCGAAGCCCTCAAGTACTCAGTGAATCTTGGATTTCGGAATTGTGGGCCGTTGTCGGTGATGAGGTTTATGGGCGCTCCAAACCTCGTGATGATGTTCTTCCAAATGAATTTCTTGCATTGTTGCATGGTAATGTTGGCCAATGCTTCGGCCTCGATCCATTTGGTGAAGTAATCGATGGCTACGATCACGAACTTCTTCCCTCCTTGGGCGACTGGGAATGCTCCAATGATATCAACCCCGAACCTAGCGAATGAGATGACATTCGATACGGGGTGATAGTAGGTCGCTGGTCTACCGGGGTACTTGTAGAACACTTGACATGTTCTACATTTCAGTACATACCTCTCACAATCATGGACAATTGTTGGCCAGTAATACCCCAACAAGATAATGCGCTGGGAAAGCGTACGGGACATTTGATGCGTCGCGCATACGCCTTCGTGGACTTCCGCTATGACTCGTTCAGCCTCCCGGTTGGTCAGACATCTCAGGAGTGGCCCCCCAAACGCCCTTTTATACAGCTTTCCATCAAGAATTTGGAATCGGGGCGCCCTGAGCTTCACTTTTCTTGCCCGGTCATCTTGTTCTGGCAAGCTCCCATCCGTCAAATATTCCATCAGATCATACATCCAATGGTCGTCCGCCC